GAGAAAAATAGAGACATAATGACAGAAAGAAAATAGAGACACACACACAGAAAGAGAGAGAGAGAGAGAGAGAGAGAGAGAGAGAGAGAGAGAGAGAGAGAGAGAGAGAGAGAGAGAGCGTGGGGTAGGGGGAGAAAAAGCAGAAGATAAGATAAGTAGAAAGACGGGAAAGTGAGTAGAATAAATTAATATGCCAAGCTCTGAAGGGATTGGTTGAATAAATAAATGCGTCCGTTTTATAGTAAAACAACAGCAGCAACAACAACAACAATAATAACAACAACAGAAACAACAACACAAACAGCAACACATTCTTATACAACTAATCACAAAGGCAAAGAGAAAATGGGAGGATGCGATTTAAAAAGCCGAAGAGTGGAAGTAATAGTCCGGGAAGAGACTGATATCTGTAAAAGCACGGGGGGGGGGGGCATTTGAGAGGATGAGAGAGTTAAAGAGGGAGACAGACAATGCAAAAAAGATTGCCTAAAAGAGAGAATAAAGAGAAATGGTATGTGATAAAGAGAGAGACAGATGAAGAGGGCAAGAGTGAGCGAATCTGAAAAAGAGAGGCTTGAAAAAGAGACACGGGGAGAGAGAGAGAGGGGGAGAGCAAGGGGATGAGGGGGGCAGCAGAGAGAGGCAAGAGAGACAGAGAAAAAGGAGAGTGAGATTGTCAGAGAGAGAGAGAGGGAGGGAGAGAGAGGAAAAAGATTGAAAGACATGAGACAAAATCTACATTTTCTTCCAAGGCCAAGCTAGGGATATGGTTGTTCACATAGGCCATCATTGTGATACTGACTTCTTGTGACTTAATTTTTCAAATCTGCAGGACTTGCTCTGGTCATGTGATTCACTGTTCCTGTGTGGCCATGCGACTCACTGTGACTGTTTGACTCAGTCAACATTTGACTCACTATAAACATGTGACTCACTGTCAACAAATGACTCACTGTGACTATGTGACTCACTATCCATGTAACTCATTTGAGTGACAGACTCACTATGACCAAACGACTCACAGAGATTGTATGACTGACTCACATGACCGAACCACTCACTGTCATTGTATGACTGACTCACTATGACCAAACCACTCACTGTGATTGTATGACTGTATGACTGACTCACTACGACCAAACCACTCACTGTGATTGTGTGACTGACTCACTATGACCGAACCACTCACTGTGATTGTATGACTGTATGACTGACTCACTATGTCCGAACCACTCATTGTGATTGTATGACTGACTCACTATGACCGAACCACTCACACTGACTGTGTGACTGACTCACTATGATGAAAAGACTCACTGTGATTGTGTTACTGACTCACTACGACCGAACCACTCACTGTGATTGTATGACTGACTCACTATGACCGAACCACTCACTGTGATTGTGTGACTGACTCACTACGACCGAACCACTCACTGTGATCAGGCTCCACACGGACCTGCCTGACCCTGATGGGTCCCACCAGGTAAGAGTTGTAGCTCTGTGCCAGCTCAGGCTGGTCGGGGAGCAGTTGGGGTACCAGTGTGTCCACCAGATAGTCCCAGATGTCTGACACGTAGTGGATCTGTGGGGTTGAAGGAAGAGGAGACAGAGGTGACACTACAGAAGGACAGAAAGATCCAGGGGTAGACAAACAAATGGACAAAAAGACTGAGGCAGAGAGAGAAAGAGATATGGAGAGGAAGAGAGAGAGAGAGAGGTGGTGAGATAGACAGACAGAAAATGCAAAATGCAGCAGGGACAGATGGTAAGCTCAAAAGAGGGCGGGGGTGCATGAGAGAGAGAGAGAGAGAGAGAGAGAGAGAGAGTGAGAGAGAGAGAGGAGAGAGAGAGGAAGAAAGAGAGAAAGAGGAAGACAGAGAGAGAGAGGAAAAGAGAGAGAGAGGAAGACAGAGAGAGAAAGAGAAAAAGAGAGAGAGGGAGAAAGAGAGAGAGACTGAGAGAGACAGAGAGAGAAAGAAAAATGTGATGTAAAGATAGAAAGAGATACACAAGACGAAGAGAGACAGGGACAAAAAGAGCTTGATGGAAGAACAATACTTGAAATAGAGCAACTGAAAGACAGGCAGACAGCTGCTCCTATCAATGATCCCCTGACACCTTCAATTATTATAAAGGTTTTCTGCCCCTGTCAGTGCATTGTAGATATCATTTTTAGAAGGCGGACTGTTTGACCCCAACAGGAACTAATGAAAAAGGGAAGAGATAGAGGAAAAACAAAAATTCCCCACACTAGAATTGAACTCACTTTCTCTTCTACATACTATCATATATGACAGAGAGCTTGACCGTTGCACCACAGACACCAAACCCTTGACATCAGCTCCGCCCCTTCTCCCCCCTCCCCCAACCATCTGAAGTGTAGCAGGGTAGATATCTTACCTTTTCCAGCCACTGGCTGTGCTCCTCCTGTGGGTGACAACAAACATGCAATAAGCCAGACATTTCAGCAGTCCTTCCCACACCCATTACTCCAGGAAAGGCATGAGACAGTAATTGTACGCATACATACACTAAAAAGTAACTACCCCCCCCCCCATCCCGAAGCCTTTCAGAGGGACTAGTGAAATGACCAAACATCATACACATTGTGATAAAATACTTGATGTAACATGAACAAACACAATACAATATTGATTGTAAATTCTAAATACACCATACAGGCTGTGAAACTGTCAAATGGAGAAAAACAAATACGACTAAAACAAATGCAAACTTACCCATGTATACAACCATACAGAAACATACATACACACACACACACACATGTACAATGTATACAAAGACAAGCAGCCACACACGCAGAGACTAGAGCCCATTCCCTCTTACCTCATCCACATAGGACTGTGCCCCTACCAGCAGCTCGCGGGTGTACTTGGTCTGCATGTACCTATAGTAGACGTCCATGTGTCCATAGGTCATCACCACAACCGCCACCATGAACACCGTGTACATGAACAGGTCCCGTAGCATCTGGGGACATTCACCAGTGACAAGGACATGGCACGTACATGGACATCATAAATCTTTTTTTAGTTTTAGTAAGAGTTTTACGGCACTTGCAACACAATAAGGTCATATAAGTGCAGAAGATTAGAGGTGTTACAAGAGAGTAACAAACACAAAAAAGAAGAAGGGGAGATAGCGACGATAAATGTTTGATAGGAAAGAAGAAGCATGAACATTTAACATCAAAAGAAATATCATACTTCTGTGAACAATCTATATCAATATGGACATAATATCATATAAAAACGAATATCATACAACTATGAACATCCTATGAACATCATTATATCCCGTGTGTGCCACCTTCAAGATTGAACCACAACAGCTACGTCTACAGATGCTCTGGACACAGAAGAATTTCTGACAAGACGTCCACAAACATCTCAGGGAGGCAGAACTCTTTGTTCAAAGACCAGTTTGACGTAACATGCTGAACACACATCACGTGGCAGAATGTCTCCAGTGGTGGCAGCACACAGTGTGGTGGCCCTGTGCACTTTGGAGAACTGGGTTTTTTTTTATCATGGACGAGTCACATTTTCTAACTTTTCTCCTTACACAAGCTGATGGACGTGCACGGATCTATCAATGTTGGGGAGAGCATTTTGCTCCCAACTGCATTCAACAAGTCGGGCGTTTAAGAGGCGGGAGTGTCAAGGTGTGGGGAGGAATCCGTCATGACGGCAGGACTGATCTTGTGCATGTGGCAGAGATTTTGACGGGTGACAGGTGCAGGGAAGATATCCTGCATCCTCAGGTTGTTCCATACCTGAACACTAATGGTGGCATTTTTCAGAAGGACAACACTCGTCTGAATGTTGCACGAGTAGGTGAGGACTTCCTGCGTGCCAATAAGAATCAGACTCTACCATGGCCTATAATAACCAAAGAATGACAAGAAAGTGGGTGGTAATGGGTTTCACTGACAGTGGAGTCAGTAGCGGTGGTGCAAGACACAGTTAAAGGAGAGACTCTTGTCTTAACCTGGAAAACTCCCAGATTGTTCCAGGAAGGTCACGTAATTGACAATGAGAAGTGCCCCAAATCAATCAGATTTGTCTCTTAATTGAACACCTATGGGATGAGAAGGATCGACATGAGCGGCAGAGGAATCCGCCATCTCAGACACTTCCAGAGCTCCTTGTAGCACTCCAGCATGAGTGGCAGACCACTCTGCAACATGTTATTGCAAATTTGATTGCATTCATGAGTTCCCGATGCCGACTAGTGATCAACGTAAATGGTGCTCATACCAGGTACTGACTTTTTGTGTACCCCTTTCTGTTTACAAGCTTGTGTAGGACATTCGGTTTGTTCACCAGGGCTAACGTTTTGAACGTAGGTATAGTTATCTTCTGCCAGAACATTGCCTTATTTTGTTCTTTTTATTATGTGCACTTTATTAAAAAGTTCAATTTTAAAAGTGAGTGTGAGGTTTCTTTTTTTGAAGAGTATGTTCATGTATGAACACTACTGTATGTTTACACAAACATCACACCTAACATGAATGTCGTAATGCATCTGTGGGAACAAAAATAACCTAACACACTACACACACACACACGTACATATATAAAATCATACACTCCCCTCCCCCCCTCCTCCTCTCACACAAACACACACTTACCGCCTTAGCCTCAGTCTCCACCTTCAGTCTGGCCAGTATGGCCTTAGCCTGAGCACCAGTCAGTGGGGAGCGGAACCTCAAGTCTCCAACCCAGGCTGTACTCATGGTGCTGTATCGCTTCAACATCTGCCTCTTTCTAAGCAATCTCTCAGTTGTATCTGGGAGAGAAAAGGAAAGACGGGGGAATATGAGAGAGATAGAGAGAGAGAGAGAGAGAGAGATAGAGAGAGAGAGATAGAGAGAGAGAGAGAGAGATAGAGAGAGAGAGAGAGAGAGGGAGGGAGGGAGGGAGAGAGAGAGGGAGTGAGCGAGGGAGGGAGCAAGAGAGAAAGACTAACAGAAATTAACAAGTTCTCTTTTATTGGAGTCAGCAACAAAAACAAAAAAATCTTTAGGTTTGGTATTGGAGTATTGCAGTGAGAATAGGAAACATGTAGCTGGTACATTCCCTTCTCTTGGTAAGAGAAAAAAAAAGCCATCGTGAACTCTTTTATCACAGCAGAAAGAAACATGGATAATGTCATTTATTAAGATTTTAATGAAAAAAGACCAGAAGTCTTACAACAAAAAATTGTATTAACAAAATCTGCTATTTCTATTTGCCAACAGATTCACCTGCATCCAACATTCTACATTTGAGCTGGTTTTTAAATACTCTGATCTGAGAATCTGCCCCACATACATTTGAAAGTGGACACAATCTAGTAACACACTGACCTCAGAGTCAAGTACAGAAGTTGATGTAGTTATATTTTTGTACATATTTATAACCCCCATCGACACAGTATAGATTAACAAAAAATGAGCTGCTTTGACCAATCTTGTATGTCAGAGCAAATGTAATTTAGGGGCATTGTCATTTCTCTCATTCTTCTCATTGTCAATTATGTGACCTTCCTGGAAACAATCTGGGATTTTCCAGGTTAAGACAAGAGTCTCTCCTTTAACTGTGTCTTGCACCGCCGCTACAGACTCCACTGTCAGTGAAACCCATTACCACCCACTTTCTTGTCATTCTTTGGTTATTATAGACAAGCAGGATAAACATTCGTTTGTCTTAGGTGAAACATTACCATTGCTTTCGTGTCATCCTTCAGTCATAATAGACAAACAAGGGTAAATGTTTGTCAGTCTTAGTGAAACATCCTAGCAGGGTCAAGTCCTTGAGCACATGCCAGTGTGGTGTCCTCCACTCCATGTACAATAATAATATATTACATTTATATGTCACTTTTCCACAAATGGAGTGCTTAGTGCACTTTACACAGAAATAAAAAGAACAGTGCCAATAGTGATCCCTTCAATGCCTCCCCGCCCCTTTCTCTCTCCCTTTCTGTCTATCACACTGAGTTGTCCAAGAGTCGGGTACTTTTCCTGTCAAACTCTACCTACGAGGTATACGTCTTATTGAGCTGTCCCAGAGAGGTCAAGCCCTCTTGTGTGTCTCCACGTAGCATGATAAAGCAATATTGTATCCTTTTAAGGACTAGGGAAAATGCATATGTTCTGCGCAATTAACAGATCCGCGTTTTTATGATCATTTAATTGCACAGCCATCTTAAGATGGCACAGCCATTTTAAGATTGCGCTGCCCATTTTAATGATCGCATAATTGCGGGGCAATCTGAAGATTGCATTAATATTTTATACATGTGTATTTTAAAAATAATTTATATTTTTAAAAATACACTTCCATCTTTATTCTTTTATTCACATCAAGGAACATTCACATACATACATTTTCATAAGCGTAAAAATATGAAAATTAAAATTAAAATTAACATATAAAACTGAAGAGCTCACAAGAATGATACAATGCCAGGTATCAAACTCAAAGTTGACATAGCACTTTTAATTTATTTTATATTTTAAAAATAATTTTTGTTAAAAATTCACTTCCATCTTTACTTATTCTTTTACTCACATCAAGGAACATTCACATACCTTTTACAAAAGTGTAAAAATATGAAAATGGAAATTAAAATTAAAATTCTTATCATTTCAAAAATATAAAATAAATTGAATGCACTTTGTGAACTTTGAGTTGGATACCTGGCATTGTATAATTCTTGTGAGCTCTTCAGTTTTATATATGTTAATTTTAATATTTTTATACTAATGAAATATTCACGCAATATTCAGATTGCTGCGCAATTATACCATCTTTAAAACGCGCATCGCCATCTTAAGATGGCCACGCAATTATACCATCGTAAAAACGCGCAGATCTGTAAATTAGCGGGGAACATATACATCCATAGGAAAACATGCACATTCGTTCAATTTACTACACCCCCCCCCCCCCAACTCCACCTATATGTCTTACTGAGCTGTCCCAGAGGGGCCAGGTCCTTGAGAGTGTGTCGAGCTTTGAAGACCAACACCAGGACTAGGACTAGGACCAGAACCCGTGCGGGCTGCACTATCATGGCGTTGAGAAAGAATCCAGAGAAGAAGGCAGTCAGCCATTCCAGACTCTTCTCTGGGCCCAGGTGAAGGCCATACAGCATGACGTAGTAGGCCAGGAATATATTGTAGAAGGCGAGAAAAGGCCAGTTGATGTAGCAACACCACCAGGGGAACCTGAACACACATATATATTTAATCATATGAGCACGTTTAGATAGCTATAGAGATACACAAACAAATATGTATATTATGGTCTGCATATATACAATGCACAACATATTTCATATGGTGCTCATAACACATAAACAGCATTTGAAACTCATGTAACAAACAACATGATATATATCATCATCATCATCATCTGCCTCGTTCGCCTTCAATTTTGCCAGTGAGAGCTAGATGTACAAGACCCTTATATACCACACTCATACCACTCACATTACATGGAGAACACAGTCAACATTATTAGCACAAACACTGCTCTCATCTGTATTACAGCACTAACACACAGCCTCCATAGCACGGCACTTACATCACACACTGTATAAATACAGCACCAATTGCAAACTTGCAACATTTCATTTTACAACACACACACACACACATCCAGTATTGTTACAATCTTGAGCACTCGCTCACCCCATACAACATACAGATGCACATAATACACATATAGAATACATAATGCACATTCTTTAAACACACATAAAAAACTAAACAAACACATTAGAAATATTAGATTCAAACATATCACATATGCTGACTGCAGTAATGCCAGATAAATGCCTACATGAAGCTCTGTTGTTTTTTCAGCTGCCTCTCCATTTCTTCATCTGTCATCTTGCTCTCTTTTTCTTCCTCTGATGCCATGGAAGCAAACTCTTCTTGCGGACGTTTCTCAGCTACAACAGTCAAACATTATCAGTCATACACAATCTTTAAAATACAAGCAGTCAAACAGAATCTATAAGACAAAGTCCGTCAAGCATAATCTCTAAAATACAACGTCAAACACAATCTGCCAGACCTTGTAAAAAAAGTCACAGCATTGTTTGTGGAATATTCTTTCTTACTGGTAGGCTAGTTATTGGGGCATTCCAACAGACAGTATAGTTATTGATGCACATGGATAACTCATGAATATACATTCAGCATAAACATATGCAAACAACATATACACATGCATAAAGTATGTATACATACCTGCCACATTACATGTGCAATGGAGTGTGTCAACTCAAATATGAATTCTTAAAAATACAAGTTCCTCCTACTTAGATTTCAGTGCTCTTTAATCTGCTAATATAATTCTTTCAAAGAACACAACACTGAGTTGACTTGAACATTGTTTCCTCCTGGGATTCCATTGAGCTCATTTAAAGCTTATGCACTATTAAGACTCTTCTTTTTTATTATCCTAAAAATTGCAGGAGTAACTCTACCACAGGGCCAAAGTAGGGAAAGGGCCCATGGTTACAATGCTATGAGAAAGAGAGAGAGAGGGAAATAGACAGAAAAAGAGAGAGGGAGGAGAGAGAGAGGGAGAGAGAGACAGAGAGTAAGAGAGGCAGGAAAGGATAGCGGCACAACATTCAGTTTGTTTCCTCATCATCACAAGTCATTAACACTGTCATAATGAGGAACATGAGACTGGTGGATGAGAAGAGAAGAGCTGGTGTACTGGATATGTTGTGTAGAACACAGAGAATTGCTAGGATGTCTGCCTGATGGAGTCTGAAGTGGCCCCAGTCTGCGTTGCGACAAGAGATTCAAAGTGACTCAAATTACAGCCTTTAACAAACTAGCAAGCTGCTTCGCTACAAGTAAATTTTGTTTGTTTGAGTAGTGATAATACCAAATGGATGCTGTTATGTGGGAGGTAAAGGTAAAAGACTACAAAATACTTGCCTCAGGGTAAGTGAATATGAAGTAAAACAATGTCTGTAAACTAGAATAGACAGATTTTCATTCTGCAATTTCTCAGAAGCCAATATGAACTTCAGTCAAAGTCAACTTGATAGAAAAGATATAACCAATATGAAGTACTCTGGTTCAACAGTAAACACATATACACACGTTTACACATGCAACATATGCATGCAAAGACAGATTAATGTATACAAAGACAATATACCATGATGCACAGACACACAAATGTACACACAGAGAATATACCATGATGCACAGACACACAAATGTACACACAGAGAATATACCATGATGCACAGACACACAAATGTACACACAGAGAACAGATGTATACATAGACAACAAATGTATACACAGATAACATTCCATGTATGCACAGACACACAAAAGTACACACAGACAACACATATAAACACAAGTACATGGCTCACCTTCCATCAGTTTGTCCTCATTATCGTGCCCTTCTCCGGCCCGGCTCTGGCCTTGGTCTTGCTCTGGACCTTTACCCTGATTGTTCTGAGGACAAAGATGTCCATAAGAATCAAATGGTCCATACAGTTGCCATCTCCCTGTGTACAGCATTACCCCTACGGAGTCAGGTCCACAAGGTGTTGGCAGAGTTAAATCTACAGTCATGTGCCTAATGCATTGACAGTGTCACATCTATGGTCACGTACACAACATCAAGACTCATAATGACATTGCATCATCTCTACAGAATCGTTAACTGGTTAACACAATGTCACATCCATAGTTGTGTACGCAATGTGATGACACGGTATCACATCCATTGTCATGTGCACAACATGAAGACACACTGTCACATCAATAGTGCATACTGTGGTGTATTTGGTTGTTTTTGGTTGTGGCAGGGGGTTAGGCCTAGCCTATTGTATTGTTTGGATGAAAGTGTGAGAGTGAGTAAAGTGTGAGTCTGTGTTCAGTTGTATTGTTTGCAAGTTGATAAAAGTCTGAGTTACTACTGGTGGGAGTTGGAGAGGAGAGAGTTGTATCAAGGCAGAGGAGGCCTGCTGACAGTATAGATTGTGAGAAAGGCTAGTTAGAGCCTCAGTTCAGCTGTGCGTGAAGTGTGAGATTCCAATCCAACGCATCGGGGCCCCAAAGCTGTGGAAGGAATCACAACACAGAGCAGAGGAACAGGTTTGGCTAATTCCTGTTATAGTAGCATGTGACAGAAGGTTAGTAGTGTAAAATATTTGTTTTATGTTCCAAGTAACAACTCATACACAACGTAAAGACACCATCACATCAATTGTTATGTAGGCCTACACAATGTGATGACACTGTGTCATCTTTACACTATCACATTAACTGGATGATATGGCGTCATTTGTTGCTACTCCTATTAGCATTATTTTTCCAGCCATATAGTGTTATTTGTCTTGTGGGTAGACAACAAAGACTAGTACATAAAATGATACACAAACTGGCAGTAAGCAATAGGAAACCACTGCTGTAGTTTCCCAAGAAAAACATAGCAGGGAAATTCACATGGTGTCTTTGGAGACTGGGAATTTCATGAAGTGAGAAAAATTAAACTGAGAAAGAGCTGAAAAAAGCCCTCATGGGCTACTCACTAATACAAAAAATTAGTTTCTGGGACACTTGAATTAACATAAAGGCCTTGAATATTTAGCTCTCACAGGTAAAAATGGAAGGTAAACTAGGCAGATGTATACCCAGAAAAACTTATTTGGGATAACCTGAACAGATCAGTGATGGGAAAAAATCAGGATAATATAGGTTGGGTTTTAGAGTTTTTTATAGAGCATTCTAGCAAAGAAATAAATTGCAAACCATTATCGTCAATGTTTGTTTCAGGATTGGCACTTGATATTGAGTTTGTAATACATATATATGCAATTCTATGTGCCTCTACCTGAGTGCATGTATGTGTACGCCTGTGTGTATGTGTATGTAAGAGTAATATGATATGTTTAAGCACCTGTGAGTATAAATGAATGTGTTGGAGTGTGCATGCAAGTGTGTTTGTGCAGTATGTATGCCTATGCAAAATTATTCATGTATATGCATGTAAGTATGAGTGAGCCCTTGCAGCAATGTGTGCATGCGAGTGCAAGTAACTGTGTGTGCAAGTATCTGTCTGTAATGGGTGCACCAGCCAAACATTTACCTGACTTGCATCGTTCCTTTGTGTCTTTTCTGTTGTGAGGCCCGATCTGCCAGCATCAACAGCAGGGATCTCTGGACTTTTAACCTTGTTATCTGTCTCTGTGCTGACGGCCAGACTTTCTACTTTGCCACTAGTTTCAGTGATGACCCCCAGACCTCCAGACTCATCAAAGGTCTCTGTGGTGACCTTTTGATCTTCAGTCAGGTCACCGGTCTCAGTTCTGACCTCTTGACCATTGGTCCGAGCCCTGACATCTTGACTTCCAACAAGGCTACTGCTTTTAGCAGTGTCCTGACTTTTGAGTTGACCACTTGTCTCAGCATTGAGCCCCTGGCTACTGTTGCGTGCTGTGAGATGGATATAATCCTTTGACATGTACCTCTTGAGCCTAACTTCCCTCTCCTCAATATGAAGACCAGCCCGCTGACCACGGTTATCTTTCTCAGTTTTCTCTTGGGGCTTGACCGCTGGGTGGGGCCGGGGCTCCACACTGACCACACCCACAACATGTAGGTCAGGATACGGGTATGGGTGAAGGTTTGGGGATGAGTTGAGAGAGAAATTGGGTAAGGGGTCAGAGTTAGAGTCAAGTAAGACAACCTACCATTCAACTCAGTTATGACTTGTTTCTGCCATCAATTCTGTCTGTCCTATTAGTTTTGTCTGCCTCACATGTCCATCTGTTTGTCCAGTGTACCTGCCTGTGACAACTGTCAATCCTACGAATGTAAGCCTGTGTGGGAGTGCTTGAATGTGTGTGTGTTTTGTGTGTGTGTGTGTGTGTGTGTTTCTACGTGCGTGTTTGTGCTCCTATGTGTGTGTATGCATGTGTGCATGTATGTGTTTGAATCCATGTGCGAGTCTGTATATGTGTTTGTTCGAGAACACATTTCTGTGTGCAAACCTGCCTTAACGGAAACCTGTATAAAACGGAAAACTGTCTTAACGGAATCTCCCCGCTCCCCCCTTGATATATTCCTCTTTAATTACCTGTATAAAACGGAAACCTGTCCAACGCGGAAACGGAAAGAAAAATCCGCTCCCTCCCGAGGGTTTCACCTGTCTAAGATGGAAAATGCTTTGCCCGCTCAGCACTGATTTGAAACAAAACTCGCAAGTTTGGTTCTGCCGGCTCTAAACTTAACACCATTGCCATGCCGCTGGGCGAGGAAGGGGAGTAGGGGTGTAATTCAGGGGTAGATGTTACCCCATCAAGTGAACCCTGAGCGATGCAGATGGTAAGGGTAGTGAGGGTGTGAAATTTCACGACTGCTCGTAAGAGTGCTCGAGTACCGAGCCACTGCGGAAACTTTCCTGGGTAGCCAGAAGCCAGAGGTGTGAAATTAGATTGATCAATGCCTACCGCCCTGATCGTACGGTCAGCCGAGAAAAGAGTTCCTCGTGTCGTTGTTACATGATGGCAGTAAGGGGTGGCATTGGTTGACTGAGCTTGTTACACCGATGGATGGGGCTAAGGGTGGAAGCAAAGGAGACGTTCAAACATTTCTGTTTTAAATAGGTGGTCCTACGAAAGGCAAGCACTGGTGGTAATTGGGCAAGTGAGACTGACGCATGTTATTATTAGACAGGATAGCACTTGAGAGGTGTGAAGTTTTGACCACTTCTTGCCAATCGGACACACGATCCTTGATCCAATCAGCTGGGCCTTTGAACCCCCCCCCTCCCCACCCTATATTCCCTGTCTGAGACGGAAAAAGTCTAAGACGGAATTTTTCTCTCACTCCCTTGCGATTCCGTCTTACACAGGTTCAACTGTATGTGTAAGCATGTCAATATGTCTGTTTCGTTCTGTCTGTTAGTGCCTGCTTGAGTCCAGTGCCTTTGTAAGCGTCTATTCAAGAAAGTGAGTACGTGTATGAGTTTGTGTGTGTGGTTGTGTGTGTGTATGAGTGTGTCAGTGTGTGTGTGGGTGTATGTGTGTGTGTTTGTGTGTGTGTGTGTGTGTGTGTGTGTGTGTACATGTGAGTGTGTGTGAATGTGTGAGCATTTGTGTGTTTGTTTCACCTGACAAGCAGCGTCTTGACCACATAAGTGACCAACACCAGCAGTATGGAGGTCTGCAGCCCCACTACGATGGCAGTCAAATGTATGCGTTGACCCATGACCTCCAGGAACTGGCGGGAGTCGTCAGCATTTGACATGTGGAAGAAGATCATGTTGAAGAGCATCAGGGACTGAAGCAGGGACAGGCCCGTCACCACTCTGTGTACCTGGGGGATGGCAAGGCATAGTTTAGTTTTAGTAAGAGTTTTACGGCACTCGCAACACAAACTAAGCACCAAAGATTAAGGGTATTACTAGAGAGTAACATACTCAGAAAATAAGAAGGAGAACTAAAGAAGACAGATGTTTGATAGGAAAAAAGGAGCAAATCACACCAGAGCACCCGCCAACCACTCATAAATGGAAAAGGGGAGGGGGAGAGAAGGGGAACAACATGACACATGCCGCAAATCCACGCAATGAAAACACAGACAGTTTTGAGGTTGCGTAAAGAGAAACACATTGATACAATAACAATCAGTAAGTGCACGAGGGAGAAGTAAGAGTTCAGTTTAGTTTTAGTAAGAGTTTTCCTGCACTTGCAATACAAATAAGTCATATAGGTGACGAAGATTAGAAGTGTTACTAGAGAGTAACAGATCAAGAAATGTTGAGGAGAAATATGGAAGATAGATGTTTGATAGGAAAGAAGGGGCCAACTGTACCAGAGCATCAGCCAACCAGTTACATAAAGTAAGACAAAAAAAAACAGTGGAAAAAAAAAGAAGTGGGACCAACCAGTGACAGACAAGTAGGCCTACAGTAATGAGACAAATGCATGCTATGATGACTCACAAATGTGTATACTAAAAGAATATAGACAAGCACTCGCAATGACCATACAGATAAGTAAATGCTATGAGTATCTAGACGAACACAAGCTATGACAACAGTTCAGCCTCTTCTGTCAGCTAGGATGGGACATACTCGTGAGAACATATTGAAAGGTGACTTAGCAAACATTCCAATCCACAGGTGCTCATTGCGAATGTCACTCTTGGCCTTCCTGACCAGATGCTGGCTCCAATGAGTGGATGTTTCTTGCTCCTGGGGGTAGTTTAATAATAAATAGCGGATATGCAGTAGATGTATTGTTGAAATATAGTGGGCATATACGATGTACATACAGACAATATGTGAGGCATCATGGTGAAATCAGGCACTCTTGAAAATAGGTGGAACAAAAAAATACTGGCACTTTTCCGAAGGTATGGTAATTTTTATCGATTGTTTTTTGGCTCAACAACTTTCATGTCCTTTAAAAACACATTTCAGTGTGGATTTTACTGAAACACAAATAAAGGTACAAACATTTTTTATTTTCAGTGCCCTGGGACTCTCAAACTATGGAAGTCACCAAGCTGGAAGCCATTTTCAAACTAATGATACCTCTGAAACCAGACAATCCCCACCTCCTTCAATCGCAATTATCTCGACTTTATTAAAGATAGATGGGTATTTTTTTTCAATGAAAAACAGGCAAATCAACTAGTTTTAAGATGGTACTAAGAACACCACATGTCCAAAACTTGATGAGTGCCTGATTCCACTCCATCATGACACATATATAACACACATAAAAATTTTTCCCTTTGTACACACACTGGACATAGGAGACTTCCAGTGGTCATATGAGCAAAGCCAACACACAGCAAGCATAGAGTAACCTTTCAAAAGACACACCAAGGACACAAGTAAGCTCCAGAAAATGAGCTGTAGAAACAAAATAAACTAATAGCTAACACAGTGGACGCACGGTGGAAAAACCATGGACATATGGCAGAGACACAATACAGGTGACTGGCACCATACCTAGTGTTACACATCGGAACACCATTATTTGGTGTATCAATGTAGAGTGCTGAGTGCAGTTTGTGACTGAGAAAGTGGGGCACGTCACTGTTGTGTGTTGCAGCATATGTGTAATATCATGTCCCCAAGTCACTGTGCTGTGCTGCTGTGACTCGCTACCTAAATGCTGATGTAAAGCCAAGCATGTGTGCCGGCGTGCATGTGTGCGTGCTTGTGTGCGTGCATAAATGTGTGTGTGTGTACCTTGACAGCGGGCACCTCCACAATGAGCTGTCGGGAGCCGCGTTGAGTGCTGATCCAGTTGTTGAACACACACAGCCATGTCTCTTCCGTCTGAATATTCTCAATGTACACACTGCTGAGATACCTGTTCCACATACAACAGTGACATATTACCAACTACAAGCACAATGAAACATCTTCTACACTACTTATTACACTCACAGTGATACATTTATGCCAAGACACGTTTTAAACACACAGTGACACCATATAGAACACCATACCATACCACACACACAGACTCTTTACAGCATACAAATTGATGCAATATACACAACCCATGCATAATAAGATATTACAGAGCCACATAACAAACTACACACACACACAAACACACACACAACACACACACAAACATGCTCATGTAAATACGCAAAGGCCACATTACACAGTGACATAACAAATGACCCTCACTAAGACATTCAAATACACAGCAGGCACAGGAAAATACTGTACATTTCTCAAACTAAAAAAACATGCCACATTACATACAGAGGGATACATCATAGGGACTTCCTTGATGACCACTATCAAAATCTCCAGATTTTCTCAACTGAGGGATGAAAGACAGCCACATTTGTTGCTGAGCTGTACCTGTCAGTTAAGCACCTCCACACAAAAACTGTATTGCACTACAGATGAGAGAAATAACAGCATGGAAAGGAAGTTGAAGGCAGTGTGCACATGAACTACCTGTTCTGTACCCAGCTGTGAGAGTGCGCATATGTGGTGTAAGCACACCTTTAGAATAGGACATGTAGCGTGAACGCACCTTTATAATAGTTATTGTGACATAGGCCTAAAGGACATGTCACGTGACTGACACCTCATGTGATTTCGTGCAAGCCGCGGGTAATCTAAGTGTCACTCACTCACTGAAGCCGAAACGAGTAACATCGGCTAACCAAGAACTACCAGAAGACGAACAGGTGGGGCCCCACCAACATCAACTACCATCAATAACAGCATACAAACAAACACACACAGCAGTCTGTCCTTACCATGCAGGCTGACTGCCAGAGAAATCTGTCCATACAACAATTGACATCAGCTCACCAAGGTCTTGGGCAGTGGTCAGCACAAACCAGTTCTGGTCACCGGACTGACAGACACACAAAGACATTGTAGCATTGTACATTTTGACCTCCACAGCTTAATGGGACCAGATTAGGGTAAATAGCAAATCAAAAAGAATTGAATAATGAGCAGACTACACCAGAACGCTCACCAACTGCCTGTTCACACACTCTGATACACTCAAACATAAACACACAACCCTCAGACTTTCCGGTCTACAGACACATAGTGTTTGAGCGCATTAAATTTCACACGAAAAAGTGAAGATGCTTAAGAGTAGGTCAGTCCATAATGCTCAGGTGCCAAATTCATACTCACAGAGAATGAGTGTCTTCCAGCATTGAATGCACTTTGCTGGCACAAAAATCCGGTAAGATAAACTAAATACATTTTGCATTCATTTTGAAGTTTTTCTTGCTAGCATCACATATGTATAGGTTTTGTGGTAACACAATTGGTGCAATATTACAGTACCATCAACAATAGCTTTGGCAATGTACTTATCATTGGTCCAATCTTTAAAAAGTTCAACCACCATCTGCGTAGAACCAGTGAGATCAAGCCCTTCCGTGATGATCACATCCCTCAATGTCTGCGTTAGTTTGTGAAACTCACACAAAGGAAAGGTAGCCTAATAAGTTATTGCAGAAAGCCAGAGCTTAGTCAGGACTGATACAAAAACAACCTAGTCTGATCAGAGAAAAAGAAAGCTGGTCGTATTACACATTATGTACCCACCTGGCATCATGATCTACTATCCAGATACAAGTGGAGCTTTGGTAAAAAGCAGGAGCTTCTCTCATTTTCCAAAAGTGAAATAGTTCTTTTCAGCAACGTTTGGACTGTTTCTACTCAGAGTCATGCCAACAAAATCTGTTTGCTGACAAAGATGGACTCTGATCCTGGGCCGCAGCCATATGTGCAAAATTTCACTAATTCCCCTTGACCCACTGTAAATTTGTTATAGATCTTACATCATAACGACATATGGAGGCCAACACACTTAGAAAAAAGATTAAGAAGGCTGGTGGATATGAGAGACAGTTCATCTAGCTGGTAGTTTGTGGAAGGGGCTAAAACACCAATGGATGCCTAAATCTTTGAGAAAAGAAAATACAGACAAGCAAAACCAAAAGAGGAAGAGCTATGCAGTCTAAACTTTGCAGAAAAGGAATCCGTGCTCTGAGAAAAATGCTGGAAAGTCATAATATACTTTTACGTAGTCTGGCCCACCCATTCCTCAAGATCCTAAATGTAACAAAACACCATATAATTCACAAACACTTATGACATAATCACTTTTCTATCAGTATAAAAAGTGAGTTCAAATATGCAAATATACCCAAATCTGCATCTGTATGATAATAAATTAGAGGTACAAACACATATACATGCCTTCACTCATATGTACCTGGAAGAGTCTCCGTGTGTCGTCTCGGAGGATGTGACAGGTGCTCTTGGCCCAGGTTCCCTTAAGGAAGAGGAAGACGTTGGAGCTGGTGGAGGCTTGTGAGGAGAGGCCGGTTACAACACACACCAGGTACAAGTACTCATGGTCATCCAGGTTGTCCTCCAGGATCGTCACACCGCGCTGTCGTAGGACATGGAGCACATATAGCACTCTGGGTTATAGTGGGACACAGTATTCACTGCTTTTCTAATTTTAGAAAGTTTTGCAGCACTGGCAACAAAAATAGGTCATATAAGTGCCAAAGATTAGAAGGGCTATTAATGAGCAACATACAAAAAAAGGGTAAGAAGTTTAGTTTTAGTAAGAGTTTTACAGCACTTGCAACACAACAAGGTCATATAAGTGCCGAAGATTAGAGGTGTAACAAGAGAGTAACAAACACAAAAAAAGAAGGAGGAGAGACCAGGACGATAGATGTCTGATAAGAAAGAAGGAGCAAACCACACCAGAGCACCCGCCAACCACCCACAAGTGGTAGGAAGATAAGGACGATAGGCATTTGATAGGAAAGAAGGAGCAAACCACACCAGAGCACCCGCCAACCACCCACAAGTGGTAGGAAGATAAGGACGATAGGCATTTGATATGAAAGAAAGAGCAAACCACACCAGAGCAACCGTCAACAACCCACTCACAGTATACACATGGCACAAAGCACTGAGGAGACACAGCCCACAAAAAGCACCAGAACACACATGACATTCCCACTGTATGGGCTCACAGTCACACTTGACACACTGGGTCGAGGAAAGGCACGGTACACATCTAACACAGAGCACTCCAAGAGGTCACAGTACACACTTGATACACCTATCAAACCGTATTGTGCATGAGGGGTGGGAACAAATAGTAATTTTATTATTTCCCCTCTTTACCCACCCCGTACTCATCCTTTCAACCCCTCTTCACCCACTCTATACTCATCCCCTTTTCACCCACTCTATACTCATCCCCTTTTCACCCACTCTATACTCATCCCCTCTTCACCCACTCTGTACTCATCCCCTCTTCACCCACTCTCTACTCATCCCCTCTTCACCCATTCTATACTCCTCCTCTCTTCACCCACTCTATACTCCTCCCCTCTTCACCCACTCTCTACTCATCCTCTCTTCACCCACTCTAGCCCTCTTCACCCACATAATTCTTATCCTCTCTGCACCCACTTTATACTCGTCCACTCTTCACCCACTCTTTATTCATCCCCCGCCATCCCTCTTCACCCACTCTATACTCATCTCCTCCACCCCTCTTCACCCATTCCATACTCATCCCCTCTTCACCCACTCTATACTCATCCCCTCTTCACCCACTCTATACTCATCCCCTCCACCCCTCTTCACCCACTCTATACTCTTCTCCTCCACCCCTCTTCACCCACTCTATACTCATGCCCTCTTCACCCCTCTTCCCCCACTCTATACTTATCCCCTCCACACCTCTTCATTCTCACTGTGTTCGTCCCCTCCACCCACCCTGTACTCATCCCACTGGTCCTTCCTCCGTGCCCACAGTATCCCGGCCACGAAAGAGATCCAGATGGCCAGCACAATGGTGACCACCAGTGGGTTCTCCACCACCTCCAGGAACAGACCAATATCCAGCGGACTCATCAGGTTAGGCATGACCAGAACACTGCCTGTGTAGGAGGCCGCTACCAGGCAACGGCAATGTAGGGTGTTCAGGTTGGAGAACTTGCTCACCTGGCATAGAGGGGGGGGGGGGGAGGAAGATGGAAAAAAGAATAAACAGATGGGACGAGAACAGACAGATACTGAGAAGGAAAGAATTTAGACAAGAAAGAATTGATGGATGCCACTATCAGAGGGAGAATTTTTAAAAGCTAGGAGGAGAATAGACAGATGTCAAGAGATATAGACACGTTGGAATGAGAATAGACCAGACTGGAGAAGTGAAGAATAGACAGATGGGAAAGGGACAGGTCGCAAATAGGATAGATGGGACTGAGACTGAGAGTAGACAGATAGGAGGGGGTTAGATGAATGGGAAGAGGGTGAAAGATGAAATATGACAGAGAGACAGGTGAAGGACAGATAGATAGGAGGAGAGATAGAAGGATGACAGGTAGGACAAATGGGAGTATGAGAACAGGGTAAAATTGGAAGGGGGGGGGGTGACAGATGGAAAATAGACAGAAGGAAAAAAGGACAAACAAATAGAAGAGAGATGAATAGATGCGAGGAAGAACAAATAGACATAAGAAATGACAGGTAAGGGGATAGACAGTCTGGAAGCAGATGGACTGATGGAAGGTATAGGATTGATAAACATTAAGGGAATAAATAGATGATGGAAGAATAGACAGATGTGAAAAAAGAAAGACAACAAAGACTAATGGGGGGGGGGGGGGGGGGCACTGGAGGAAAAGATAGAGAAACATGAAAATAGAAAGATCAGACAGACAAACAAGTAGACTTGATGAATTGAGCAATGTCTGACCGCACAGTCCTTGGAGAGATAACGCTCCTGTTCTTTGCTGAAGTGGACACAGGAGACCCTGTAGGGCGTGACCTGCACGCTCACGTTGTAAAGCTCAACGCCAGCGTCCGCGCGACTGCTCCGCAGCAGACCACGGTTCCCATCTGCTGTCACTAGGGTCAGAGCGTTCAAGTTGACCTCTTGTTGTGTCTGTACAGTCAGCTTCACACGGTAGTAGTGTGTTTCATGTTTCACTTGGAGCTGGGGGGTGGGAGGCACAACATGTTGAATACAACAAGCGTGTAACACGCAACACATTGGTATCACACAATGCAACAGCAGAATACAACGCATGAGGGACACACAGTACTAAATCAACAAACTATGCTACATGCTGGATGCATCATACAGGCGACATACTACACAAAAGACCTGCAAAGACAACATAAATATGACACCACACACACTTTATTTGTTATTTTTAAGTTTAAGTAAGAGTTTTACTGCACTCACAACACAGTAAGGTCATAATAAGAGTGCTGAAGATTAGAGGTGTTACAAGGGAGCAATAAACACTAAAAAGGAAAAGAGATCATGTCAATAGATGTTTGATACGAAAGAAGGAGCAAACCACACCAGGGCACCCACCAACCACTTACACCACACACACTGAACACAGCATTTAGAGTGACCCAGATACATTCTACAAAGCATGCTGTGACCCCAGTACAACTCACTGAATACAGTGTTATGCTAATGCTATACACAACATAGAACAGTTTGTTTGTTGTAGTAAGGTTTTACGGCGCTTGCAAATTGCATAAGGTCATATGAGCCCCAAGGGGTGGATGTCAACAGAGAAGTCTAAACGAGGAATCAGGCTTACTCTGCTCACCTCTCTGGCTTCAACAGCACAAAGTCTGTTTCGCGACTATCAAGGCACCCCAGAAATAGCAGTTCACAAGAGAGTGACAAACATACAAAAGAAGTAGAGGAAAAATGACAATAGTAGGGATGAGGAAAGAAAAAGCAGAAGTTCCACCTATGTTGTTCTGGCAGTGTGAGCATGACATTGATAAATCAGCCCATTTACAATTCTACTGTGCATAAGAACATGTTAATATCTCCCCTTTGGGAATGGCCTAAAGACAACTTCAGTCAGTAGCACTGCCCTGGTTGGGGGGTGGGATAGATCAGTTCAGTATGAATGATGTACCACACACAACACACGGGAGCAGTATTACTATTACAACTGCTACCATTACTGTTATTACTAATAATAGTAATAACAGCAATAGGGCACCCATCTAGGCACTATGCATTGATGGCTACAAGAAACATGCTGTACAAAGATACAACCCCAAACACATCTCTCTCTCTCTCTCTTTCTCTGTCTGTCTCTCTCTCACACACACACACACACACACACACACACACACACACACACACACACACACACAAACGTATGCATCTACAAGCACACTCTCTACATAGCAAACACACACAAACATACAAAAACACATATCTGCAAAATAAGTGCAAACAGGGATTAGACATGTACTTACAAGAGTGATCCGGTACCAAGAGACAATTTAAACAAAACTAGATTTGTATCTCGGAGTTTTCAGTGAAGATTTAAATACTGACAAAGCTTGAGCCACCTATTTCAAAGAATTAAATTGTAACGAGAATACACTCTTCATAACATGAACATGTTGTATAGGTTTTTTTGTTTTTTTAATAGTAGAGGGTTTTACGGCGCTCGCAACTGCATAAAGTCATATGAGCGCCAAGGGGTGGGCGTCAACAGAGAAGTCTTTACAGGGAATCAGACTTATTCTGCTAACCTCTCTAGCTTCAACAGCACAAGGTCTGCTTCGACTATCAAGGCACCCCAGATATAGCAGGTCACAACAGAGTGACAAACATACAAAAGAAGTAGAGGAAAAATAATAATAATAATAATAATAATAATAATAATTGCATTTATATAGCGCATATCCATGCTCAAGAGCTTGCTCTACGCGCTTTACAACTATTATTACCCCAGCAGACCCTCTGAGAACACTCAGAAACATTCTCAGCTTCCGTGGAAGCATACAGTGCAAGCTGCGGATTTCACGTGCTCAAACACTATCAAACTGACAAGATCTTTCACTGTCTATAGCTGGGTACCCATTTCCACCTGGGTGAAGTGAGGAAAATTTGTGCAAAGTGCCTTTCCCAAGGACACAACGTCGGGTCCCTGACAGGATTCGAACCCACGACCTTACGGTTGCGAGTCCAAGAGCCTAACCACTAGGCCACCGACGCCAAAAATGACAATAGTAAGGATAAGGAAAGAAAAAGCAGCAGTTCCCTGTTGTAGATCAGGTACAGTTATAAGCGTGACATGAATCAGCCCATTTACAATTCTACTGTGCTTGAACGAGAAATGTCCTCCCTTTGGGAATGGTCTAAAGACACTACAGTCAGTGGCACTACCCCGGGGGGTTGTATAGGTTTGATGAACCAAAATTAGGAATACTCTTTAAGACATTAGCACAACAAACACATAATGCACACCGCACAAAACATTAATAACAATAATAATAATAATAATAATAATAATAAAAATAATTGCAGTTATATAGCTCATACCTTCGGTCTACCACATGTGCTATGTACTTAAAACTACTATGGGGACATTCTCATAGCAAACACCTCACACGACTGTTGAGTGACAAAACGTACACAATACATAATACAAAACTGACACACAGTATACCCTTGTCGAACACAACACACATGTGGAGCACACACGTGGCCACATACATAAGATCACACAGACAGAGAAGTCAACGTCCACAGCACCCATAAGTACACACATTGACACACAAGACTAACTTCTCTAAGCTGTGGTAGAAACAGCAGGTCCTTGTCCCTCTTCAACATCCCCGCGGGGGTCCGTAGGTATTCGTCCTCAGGGTAGGGGATCTCCAGCATCTCTTCCTCTGACAACTGCCACGGCAACACACAGACCAGGGGGAACAGCATAATAATAGCCCATTACATAATACACCCTGCATTTTACATTTCTGAAACCAGAGTATCATCTCACCACAGAACACAGCTGACATCACATAACACACCTGACATCAAAACATCTCATCATCTTACGCACCTGATATTAAAACACCACCTGATCATCCTACATATCTGACATCAAAATATCATCTCATCATCTTACACACTTGATGTTTAGTTTTAGTAGAGGTTTTACAGCGCTCGCAACTGCATAAGGTCATATGAGTACCAGAAGATTAGAGGTGTTACAAGAGAGTAACAAACATAAAAAAGAAAGGGAGACAAGGACGATAGATGTTTGATAGGAAAGAAGAAGCAAACCACACCAGAGCACCTGTCAACCACCCACACACACCTGATGTCAAAATAATACCTCATCACATAACACATTTGACATCACAAACAAAAAAAACCAATCTCTCAAGCAAAATGTTTGTCTGCATGAACACATACATGATCGAAGCTGCTGATCTTCCCTGTGTAACGTATCTTCACTTTGAGACGGAGGCCGTTGGGAGAAGTAACCCGGAGTATGGTGGCCTCCGTTGTACTGGCTTTGACTGACATGAACACACAGCTGGAGCGCAGCACAGTCTTCTCTGACACATCAACGTCAATCAGAGGGTGGTACTCCACTGTCTCTGCACTGGAATCTGTGCCATACACAATAGTAATAAAAATGAACGAAGATGCACAATTTGCAGTATGACACCCAATCTTGTGTCATACCTACCAACAGTCAATCCACACACGTGCCTATGAGCAAACACATACACAATACTTGCATTAGGATGGAAAACAGCAACTTTTTAGCTAGTGCTGGGATACACAATGTAATGCAACCTATCTGTGCCAAATGTTCATAGGAGAAATGGAACAAGGTTGCAAAAGCTGTAATGACTCATTTCAGCCCAGCTCTTTAACTAGTTTATGATTTGTTTGCTAGATTAACTTTTTCCCCCCCAAAAATCAAGATGCTTGTCATATTATTACAAAGTTTTTCCAGAGGACTTGTATCCACCACAAAGGTATAGCATAAAAATAAACTAACACAAAGTAGTAAAGGAACAAAAGATGATACATTAAAACAATATAAAACCTATTTTTGTATTTTTATGTTTATATAATAATACATATTATATGTGTGTGAGGCGTGCTGACAAAATGAGTTACTTCTTGCAATCCACAAATGGAGATACTGGCCAAAAATCAACACTTGGGTCAAATTTGCAGACTTTCTATTGATGTCACATTCTTTAAGTATAACATGTCCTTTATTATTTCATTCTTATAAATTGTAAAAACTTCACCTATAAGCGTGATGTATCTATTTCCATTGGGCTCGAATCTGAGCAGTAACTCATTTTGTCGGCACGCTTCACACACACATATGTGTGTGTGCATGTGTGTGTGTGTGTGTGGGTATGGCCATGTAGCTGTTTGTCTGTGTCTGTGTTGCAATGCCTGTGCTTTTGCCTCACATTCAAAAGATGAAGTTCCAAATACCATACAAAGAAGATACTTCAAAAGGTAAATAAATCTTTCAGATAGGATGTGAAAAGCAGGGTAAGACATCTATACTGATATAAATTGCATTAATGCCAGCACAAGACATTTGCGGCAATCAGACATACTCGTACAAGACTACCTTTGTACCGAATGAAGACATCAGCCGGTCTGCTGAACCTCCACTCCCGTGGAACCCGTCCCTTCTTGTACTTGTCTCGTTGTCTCACAAAGTCTACTGAAACCACTGGCATCTCTCCATGCATGTCCCGTGATGCCCAAGCGTACGGGTCTTTGTGATATGCCTTGAACTGGAATGTCGGAGAAGAGGAAGAAAGGTTAGTACCTTGGACAAGTTTACAGTTCACAGCAATACATCCCACTAAGTCCTCAGTCCTCAGTCAAATTAACAACTCAAATAATACATCTCAACTGTACTCAAACTCACAGCAAAAACATCTCACCTCATCCAGAATCAAACTCTCAGTTTGAACATTTAAACAGTCTATGGATGAGTTGATGTCATCGGAGGAGTGAGCAAAAAAATCAATCGTCTGAAGAGTTCAACTTAAGGGGAGACGTACATTCCCGGAAAAATTTTCTAAACGAATTACTTTTATTCACTTTCATGTAATTGTGCAAGAAGTTCATAGGTAAATAGTATGTAGTAAGGGTGAATTTGTTGATTTTTTCTGAAAAAATGGGTCTCTGTGGCAGCCATCTAGGATTTTCAAACCAGTTTCTTAGTGCAGAAAAATTTCATAGTGAATATTGAAACATCAGCCTGAAATTTGGCTCACAAGTACAAATCTATATGGACTGGGGATCTATGTGAGGATTTTGACCTATCTTTAAAAATAAAAAAGTGAGTCCAAAGTCAATGGACCCCCGAGAGTCATTTGACGAAATTCCGGGGTACATATTACAAAAAATTTGAATATTTCCACAAGTTACCAATATTCCCCAATTCTCTCACATGGATCCCCAGAATAGATCTTAAAGCATCTATACGCCAAACTTGAAGCTTCTAGCTTTAGCAGTTTTTGAAAACTCCTTGCACCAAGAAGGTCACCTATGTCAAAAAGTAGATTTTGAGAAAAACAGAAAAACAGGGATTTTTTAACGGATTTTTATTGCAATTAGCACTTTTCAAACACTCTTTTGGGTCATTTAGGGTGTATTCTCAACAGTTTCGTCATTGTGACCCTATAGAAAAAGTGTCAAATGATGCTTTTCCGCAAAAAACAAAAGATGGATAGTTTGAAAAGTTTGTCTGGGATCGTCGACCCGGGTCTTCCCTTAACCATTGGGATCTGTAAAGAAATAAAGATGCTGGGACCCGAGAAAAAGATCAACTAAACCGAAAATCAACTCAAGCGAGTTCAACACAAGTGGAGTCGACTGTATATCGCCCAACTCAAAGCAAATCATCTCATCCACCCACTGCATTTTCCCCAATTCCGTCACTGCCTTCCACACTCCTCCTTCCTTTTCCCCTCCCCTCTCCAGCCTCTATCCTCCAACAGCAGCCATCCACCCCCCTACAACAGCAACAATAACATCAACAGACCTCACTCTCCACCCCCTCGTTCTCCAGGATCCCCATGTCAGAGGTGGGAAGATAGAAGCGGATGTTGCCGTCTGTGGAAGCCAGTTCAAATTTTGCGTTTCGGCTCACATTTTGCCACTCCACGCCAAGCTCCACATTCTTGGTGGACAACTGATGGGAAGGGGGTGGGGGTAGTGATGTCAATAAAGACACAATCTATAACAGCCTAACCATATAAAGCAAAAACACATCTGAATCTCTCAAGGAGAATAGTTGTGACTTAGCTTGAGAGGTGTGACCTGAGGCCTGGCGAAAATTAATTTTAGTTGTAAGGTAAAGGGGGGAAAAGTTGATATGATATCGTAGATAATTTAAAGAAATATGACAGACAAGAGAATTCAGACAAACTGGTATGTAATGTGACAGAAGGGAACAGACAATCTAGTGTGTGATGTGTTGAGGGGGTGTTATATATAGGGGTATAGACAACTAGTACATGATGTGATATATAGGGGTTTAGAAAACTAGTACATGATGTGATATATAGGGGTATAGACAACTAGTACATGATACATGATATATAGGGGTATAGACAACTAGTACATGATACATGATATATAGGGGTATAGACAACTAGTATATGATGTGATATATAGGGGTATAGACAACTAGTACATGATACATGATATATAGGGGTATAGACAACTAGTACATGATGTGATATATAGGGGTATAGACAACTAGTACATGATGTGATATATAGGGGTATAGACAACTAGTACATGATGTGATATATAGGGGTATAGACAACTAGTACATGATGTGAAATATAGGGGTATAGACAACTAGTACATGATGTGATATATAGGGGTATAGACAACTAGTACATGATGTGATATATAGGGGTATAGACAACTAGTACATGATGTGAAATATAGGGGTAGAACATTAGTAATCAAAATACACGAAGATGCACAACTAGAACATAGTATGATATAGGGTAATAGAAAAACTAGAACATGGTGTGATATAGGGGTATAGACAAACTAGTGCATAGTGCAATAAAGGGATACAGACAAACAAGTGAAAGTGCATAGTGTGATATAGGGATATAGACAAACTAGTTCAAAATGTGATATAGGATTATAGACAAACTAGAACATGGTGTGATATAGGGGTATAGACAAATTAGAACATGGTGTGATATAGGGGTATAGACAAATTAGAACATGGTGTGATATAGGGGTATAGACAAATTAGAACATGGTGTGATATAGGGGTATAGACAAATTAGAACATGGTGTGATAGAGGGGTATAGACAAATTAGAACATGGTGTGATATAGGGGTATAGACAAATTAGAACATGGTGTGATATAGGGGTATAGACAAATTAGAACATGGTGTGATATAGGGGTATAGACAAATTAGAACATGGTGTCATATAGGGAAATAGACAAACTAGAACATGGTAAAATATAGGGGTAGAGACAAACTAGAACATATTGTGATTTAGGGGAATAGACAAACTAGTGTAGGGATATAGACAGACTAGTGTGTGGTGTTATACAGAGATATATAGACAAACTATAATAGGATGCAACCGCCAGACAAGTATTAGTCCCACCACCAAGTGTCCAACTGTTCTTGAATTACCCATATAGGGACATTGGCCTCAGTCAGTGAGGTTGTCAAAGTCTCCGCTACTTGCGAGATTGAGTTAATTGCCTTGAAACTGTGCTCCTTGTTCTGTACACAAAGGGGAAAAAACATGTAAACAATATTACTTGACAATTCTGCGGTTTCAGGGACACTTGAATAGACATAAGTGCCTTGAACATCTAGCACACACTGATAAAATTGAAGGCAAACGAGGCAGGGGTAGACCCAAACCAACTTACTTGGAGAGCCTAAACAGATGAGCGATGGAGAAAGATCGCGATAATATAGCTTTTCAAGATTTAGTTTTAGTTTTAGTAAGAGTTTTACAGCACTTGCAACACAATACGGTTATATAAGTGCCGAAGATTAGAGGTGTTACAAGAGAGTAACAAACACAAAAAAGAAGGAGAGACAGAAACGATAGATTTTTAAATAGAAAATTAGGAGCAAACAACACCAGAGCACCCCCAACCACCCACCATATTTAAGAGCATCCAAGCAAAGGAAATAATGGTGAACTGTGATTGCCAAAGACTGTTGCACATCTGGCACTTGATGATGATTTTGTTCAAGATAAACAAAGGCAAGCACATTAACAAGATAATTATCATTCCAGACAGAGAATCACAAACCTTAGCTACTTGTCAGAAGGGATTTGGACAATCATTGACAGAGCAAAATTCGCACCCGACTAACTGAACCCTGACTTTATGTCTAAGTTACTTTTAGATAATGTCAAAAATTCAATATCAGTGAATAACTAAAGACAGCGGACTCAGAATTGGCAGCTGGTCAAAACATTTTACACTAATCAAAACTGATGGGCTTTTGTAATGGAGATCAAGGACAGGTGCCGGTCATTACTCGAAAGATGACAAAGTTCTAGACGAAAGATCGTTTGCCCATCTTGCTCCATCAGTTTGGAACTCTCTTCCACAAACCTTGAGACATACAACATCTGAGTCTAAATTTTAAAAATCTTTAAAGACACATTTAATGACATCATTTTTATGTCAGTAGATTCATGTTCAGTACAATGTTATGTAAATGACTATGTATCCATTTATGTGCTTTGCAAATTGCATTGTGTATATTATTTTATTAGGTGTATGTGCTCATTTCGCAACGATGTGCAAGCGTGGGTGTGTGATAAGCAAGTAGATGTGTGTGTGTGCGTGTGTTTGGAGTGCATGTATGTACACATGTGTGCGTGTAATGTGTGTGTTGGTGTATGTATGTGTGTGTGTGTTAGTGTGTGTGTGCATGAGTGTGTGTGTGTATGTGTGTGTGTCGCGTGTGTGAATATTGTTCGTACATGCATTTATGTATAAAGCGCCTAGAGCTGTGTTTACATGGGAGTGGGTGCATTAGAAATGATCTTCATTATTATGATTATTTTATTAAACAACAGCTTCTCTTGATCAAATTATAGGGCCATTGCAATCCAGGAGGTGATGGTGCATTTGGCTAACTATAGAAGTTGACGACACCAAAATTGTCCCAGAGTAATCAACCAGAGTAATCCAGATCACCAACATCTCCTCGCTCACAGTAATGCATTTCATCTAGCCAGCTTACTCTCCCAACCTTCTCACTGCCTACCACTCTCTATATCTTACCTCCTCCCTGCTTCATACACTTACAAAACGGCAGATATCCAAAGAAAAGTTACATGCAATAATATTGTTCCTGTGAGCTAGGCAGAGTCAACTGGGCTACTGAAGCTAAAAATCTATTCTTTTCCCTGAGGTTGGGATATGACTAGTTTTCTCAAAGTGTTGGAAGCACTAAATGATTTCTCAGTGAAGTAAAAAGTAAGCTTGTTGATCATTCTGCGCAGAACATAGAGGGAGAAGTCTGAGAAACAGCTGAGTAGTCTATATCATCAACCTCCCACGGTATTGGAACTGTAGAGTTACAGCCTTGTTAAAAATTCAGAGCCTTCCATTAAATAAAAGTCTGTATCAGTGGAAATGAATAAATTCACCCGTCTTATCAAATTATTGAAGATGAATTTCACTTGATCTTTTTATTGTCCAAATTTTGCCTATCAAAGAAAATAGGTAATTTCTCCCATGCACAACATGCATGTGCTTTTTAATTATGGAAACTTTATTTAACAATAAATGAGTGTTTTATATAATGTGATGTGTGCCAATAGCCTTAAACACTTAATAAACTTATTTAAACTTCAACTCCTTCCTGCTTACACCCATCCAAAGTCCTGCAACAGTGCTCACAAAATGGTTCACTCATTTTTTTAGCATACTCTCTGCACTTGCGGGTGATAAATCAGTTTTGAGCGCTTGCAACACCACTAAACCCCCTGTTCCCCCCAATAAATCGGCATAAGTGTAGTCAGGGTGCTGACGGTCAACGTACCTGTTGCTGAGTAAATCCCATAGACTTTGCCTTCTGTTGGTCTCTAGCTATACTCTTGCCCACGTCAGAGGTTACAGAAAGTAACCTGCCCACAGCATGAACCTGGATACTGGAATGGGGGGTTGTTTTGTGTGACAGAAACAGAGGCTTAGCATTAGTCTGCAGTAATGCAATTTCCTGCCCCATCACTTTTTCCAGTATTATCCTCTCTCTGTCTCCCACAAACACAAGCTGTAATTTTGTTTTAGTTTTAGTACGAGTTTTCCGGCACTTGCAACACAATAAGGTCATATAAGTGCCGAAGATTAGAGGTGTTACAAGAGAGTAACAAACAGAGAAAAGAAGGAGGGCAGATAAAGACGATAGATGTTTGATAGGAAAGAAGAAGCAAACTACACCACAGCACCCGCCAGCCACCCACTATAATTTCTTTGTTTGAAACATCTATTGCTTATGCAACAGTTATGGGCACAAGCAAAAATTTTAGTAATCCATTAAAAGTACTTATAAAACAAAACAAAACCACCACCCAGACATTACCCAGAAATGTCAGGGCACACAGAGACATCAATGGACTCACTCTGCCACATGCTTGGTCAGCTCAAAGTTGTCAGGACTGACCTTGCCCAAGTACTTTGTGAGAGTCTCAGCCGAGCTCAGACCATGGTCCTACAGAGATTGGATGGGGTGGGGAGGTACCGTCATGAATGTTTGTGTGTGTGTGTGTGTGTGTGTGTGTGTGTGCATGACAGACAGACAGAGAGAGAGAAAGAAAGAAAGAAAGAGAGAGAGAGACACGAGACACAAGAGAGAGAGAGAGAGAGAGAGAAAAAGAGAGAGAGAGAAAGAAACCGAGGGACAGAGAGACACGAAGAGAGAGAGAGAGAGAGAGAGAGAGAGAGAGAGAGAGATCAGAGAATCAGAGAGAGAGAGAGAGAAACAGAGGGACAGAGAGACACGGGGAGAGAGAGAGAGAGAGAGAGAGAGAGAGAGAGAGAGAGAGAGAGAGAGAGACAGACAGAGAGACTTTGAGAAAACCAGGTGACATGGCATGGAACAAATCTAAAGTACAAGGAAATCCCCAGGTAGGCAGGTTCAAGTAAATGATCATCTCACATAAAGACACAAAAAAATTGTTAGTTTCACGCACATATTATTATTGCTTGAGTTAAAAGAATACTTGCAGGCAGAAAGGGTAAAAAAAATAACTTTTACAGAAGCTGTCAAACAAGGCAAAATTATGAATTAACCCCAACCCAAAACCACTGCAAACCTGGAGAGTGGAAACCCTAAAAAAGTAGCACTTTCCAAAACAGAATATGACTAACTGGAAGACAAAAGGCACTACATTCTCTAGTTGGAAAAAGAACCAAATGCAAAAAGAAAAATCAACAGTATCGCGATTGAAAGAATTTATGGTTGACTACCTCTGAATCTAAAATCTGGTGGGGAGACGCAGAAAAAAACCCCAAACAGTCAAATAAATAAACATACAAGCAAAACAACAGCTAGAGAGGCAGGCACTGCAATACAGACAGACATGACAAAAGACAAATGGAAGGCACCAGTCCTGAGGTTTGGATCTCCTCCTCCTGTGCCACTGTTGTGTCCAGTACAAAGGATGTGTGCTGTACAGAAGATGGTGTCTCACTATCCATCAGTTGAAGGTTGCTAAGTAGTTCCTGACGGACCTGTGTGGGAGGGGGGGATTAATAAATCAGCTGTTAAAGTTAGATTAGTGAATAAAATTTCAGCCCAGCATACATCTGGCTCTAAATTTAATATGGCTCCCAAAACAACTACAGCTAGTACAGCTAGATCTAGGGGTACCCTCTGCCAAATGTAACAATTTCAGTTTGTCCAATTTGGAGACTAGCGATGATGAACTCAGAAAATACTGTATATAAAGAACAAATATATAATCAAGAGTATATTTAGAAGAACTGTACGGTGATGCATCTGAAAGGCCAGCAAAAAATGCACACACTGTGAAGATCCTTTGCGTATAGGCAAATATGTTTCTGTCTCATCTCCTCCTCTTATAGCAGAGGTGTCGGGACTAAATATTCCTTCTTTATAAATAAATAAGACAAAGTGCAATAAGTAATGTGGTGAAAATAAGGTCAAACTGAAAACTCATGGCTCCAAAACTAATTGTGACAACTCACTTACAATTCTTTCAACCCCTCTAGCCCTGGTCAGATATATTTCCCTAAAAAATTCTCATTCCCACAGATCCAGTTGTGTTTATTTCCCTCACAGGGCAGCAGTCACCTCAAATCCATTTGGGAATTTTAACTGAAATCTATCCCCTTGTCTTTGAAAAGTTTTCTGCATGTCAATTCCTAAAACCTCCAACAAAAGTAAGTATAGCCAAACAATTACAGACACAATCAGTATTGGCTGGGCCCCCTGTGGGGTTAAAGCCTTTAGTATTTCCTGGGCCAAAGGTATGTGAGGGCTAAAAATACCGCGTTGCTATAAGGGTTAAAGTTTCAGTATAAATTTCAATAAATACCCTTCAATTGGTTGGTCGCTAGGGGGTCATGTAGCCAACATTGCTGGTTGTCAGCGAGTGAAAGGCATATCCAACTTTGCGAATTTCCAGAAGATTAATTTTTATTTGACTGAAGATGCTTCATGGTTAGACTGTACTATCCTCTGAATTCATCTTCCAGGTAAAAGTCCAGTTGTTAAGGCTATCTTGGGATAATCAAACACACTAAACATGGCGTACAGGATGCATAGCTGACATTCTAAGCTTCTGGGTTCACATACCTGAGTCTTCCTCTGGGCTGATGCTGTAGACTTAGCATTGATGATGGTAGCAATGTCCTTTACTGCACGCACATCCTCTATGTGAGTGTGCATGGGGGGGGGGGGGGGGCAAAATAGGATCAGTATTGCAATACATTCTGAACTCTAAAATAGTAACAGTTAATGACACATTGATATTGCAATAGCTTCTAGACTCTCACACAGAAACAATAAATGATGTACAGTTATATCATCGTAATCTATTGTGGACTCTCATACGATGACATCAATAGGCTAAGAGCTGTCTCCCTATAGAGGAGTGAAACAGTTTCTGTCAGCTGCAATGATGATCCAAGGAACTTACCATACTATCTGAGAATCTCTCACATTCTCAGTTACCTGACTGATAGCATGTACACACACACACATAAACTAAATACACCAAAAAAAAACATACGAGGGGATATCAATAAGTTTTTTTACCTGAGTATGAAGGAGTGAAGCTATGAACTTGAAATTTGGTATGTAGACACTTATTTCTCTATGGAGTCACCAGCCGCAAGAACACCTTTTTGCCAGCAATGAATGACCTTGAAAAGTCCTTCAGAAAAAAAATGATCACTTTGCCAGATGAATTCTGCACTTTGGCTTTTTTGGGGGTGGGGGGAAGATGGTGTTTTTCATTGCATTGAAGTAGATTTTGACTCTGGGTTGAAGTGATAGACACAGCTTTCATCCATTGTTACTAAACGGTCAAAAAAGTTGTCAGGATCTTCATCAAACATGTCAATCATTTGCTGACTGCACAGTGCTCTCTGTTCTTTTTTATGAGGAGTAAGGAGATGGGGCACCCATCTTGCAGACACATTCGACATATTCAAATGGTCATGAAGAATTGTCTCAACAGATCCATAGCTCAAGCCAGTTTCAGTACAAAGTTGTCCGAGAGTAACGTGCCAGTCGTTCAGCACAATCTTCTTGACTTTTGAAAAATTGTCTACAGTCACTGCTGAGACAGGGCGACCTTCTAGAGGGTTGTCTTCAATAGACGTTACCACATTTGAATTGCTTGCACCAATATTTGACCACATGTCTGCTTGAGCAGACATCTCCATACACTACAAACATTTCATCGTGTACATCGTTTTTTTTTTCTTGGAGATGAAGGAACTTCATCACAGCTCTCATTTCAATTTTTTCCATTTTGTGAACAAAAATGAAAAAGGCTAATCATGCTTTCAAGGGTGATGTTAAACTACCTGCTGTACAACCTGAACTTTACTTTTATTCGCAGATTATACCCTTTTGGGTGTCGCGGGAAGAAAGAGACATCTCTCTGTCGCCAGCCGGAGAGCTTGGGTCAGAGGGATGCCGAGGGTGGTTAATGTTTCCCTGACTCCATATATCCAGGTCTTTCTCGGTCGCCCTCTAGCCTTGTTGTCATTGAATTTTTTAAAGTGGGAACGTTGTGCTGGATGGTGTCGGTAATCGCATGAGATGTCCGAACCATTTGATTCTTTGGTGTTGGATGTGATGCATGACATCATTTGTGCCCACCATTTCTCTGATTACTGAGTTTCTGATTTTGTCATGCCTGGTCTTGTTTACTGCTTTTCTAAGGCATCGCATTTCACATGTTGTAATTCTTGGCTCTAATGTCTTGTTCGTTGTCCATGTTTGGCATTGATAGGTGAGTGTTGGGAACAACCTGAACTAACCATAGGAAATTCCCAGTTATTGATATGCATTCTTAGTTTAGATGTATCTTCAACCTGTTCAAATTTCAAGTTCGTAGCTCCACTTTTTCATATTTAGGTAAAAAAACTTATTGATATCCCCTTGTATACAGGCAAGCACACATTGCAGCTTATTTCGTTACCTTGGTTACCAGAGTTGCCAAGATCAGCCAAAGAGCCCAACTTGTCCAGGATGGCTGTCTGATCGTCTGTGGTCAGCTGTAACACATGCACACGCACACTCAAGCAATGGATGACATGTTCACAAAGTTAAATATTTGTCAAGGTCAGTTGAGAGATGCCGCGTATACAAACTTAAATATCCTTCAAGCTCAGCTAAAGGATGACATGTACATATACACACAGGCAAACACACAAGTACGTATAAACATTTATACATACACAAAAAGAAACACTTCTATACATATATAGAAGAATCAGATATTGGACTAATGTAAAGCTATCATAAGACTGTTGAACACAGAAGAACAGACTATTCCACAAACCCATAGACATGTGTTCCCCCCCCCTACCTTTCTGCCCAACCACCCTAAAGACATCTCGATCTGTCCCACAGAGCCCATTACCTCCACTACTAAGTACACCACTGATGCTGTGCCTTTGATGTTGACGATCTCAACTTTGAGTGGAATTTGAACGGCATGGGTCACATTCTCCACTGACAGAGTGACCCCCGTGATCCATGCGGAGCTGGTGTAGGCAATCAGCGTGTCTGGACCAGACAAAGAGGTGGAAAAACACATGCATGTCATATGGCAGTGAGGGGTTGTGTAATATGCCACAAACACCTACAAAGAAGCAAGAAAAGATGGGTATCTCGGCCACAGTTTAAAAAGTATATGGAGCAGTCTGTGAGAGTTAAGACCCATGCCCGACAGCTTCTATACATAATGCCATGCTTGATGGAATTCTACATATCACACTTTCAAATCATGTCTTGATTGGCCATTTAAGCAACCAAGAACAATGATCAAAAGGCTATAAATTTCTCATCAAAATAATCTATCTTAACCAGTGGTGAAGTTATCCATAAGTATCCAAACAACTCACAGAAAGTCTGTCTATGCAGCTGGAAGAAGTAGCCTATTCATCATAGAAAAATTTTGTTTAAATAACTGCCAGAAGTAACATAAATATTAATCTAAACAACATACAGAAATTGTCTTTCTAAAAAAATGGTGTAAATAAGCTATTTCTCTTAACATCTCACAGAAAGTCCATCAAATCAAGGGGTGGGAGTATCTTTTCTATTTAACAACTCACAGTGAAACAGTCTGTCTAAATAACTGGCATAAATAAAGTATCAATTTTAACAACTCACAAAAACTGTCATAACAACAGGTAAAACTAATCAATTAATTTAACTAGAAAACTTCCAAGATCAGTCTATCCACCTAAAATATATAGTTGCTGAAACAAGCAATACACTTAATCCAAAATTATGAGAATTTCCTATTTTTACACACTCTCAAAGCTCAATCAAAAATGCACCTTTCAACATCACCAAGATGCAGTTTAATGTTATGGTCAGGACAACGTTTACAATTTTCTTGCTTTTCATGATTCTTAATTGGAACATACAACAAAAATTAGTTGTTTTATTTTTCTGAAGTAAAAAGTAGCTAAACTGACTTAAGTGGCTTGCTTGCAGCACCGATGATATCTTAACAACTCACAAAAAAACCTGGTGCCATCCACCACCTTGTCCTGCTGGTACAGGCGGTATGAGAGCGGCATGTATGCTACTGTGTCCATGTAGTTGGGACAGCTAATGTTGAACCTAGAAACAAACACAGAAGCACACACCATGCCAGAATACCGACGTACAGAACACAACTGAAACTTTTTAGTGTGGACACACAACACATACAAGTAAACACTGAGAAAAAAGACAATTTTTTTGTCTTTGTCATGTTTTTCATTTTCACCTTTTACCAGGTCTTGAGGAACTGACCAGGAATAATTTCCCCTTGCAAACAAACATATTTACATTGCTACATATATAAACACGCACAGATACACATAGTTGCATAAACAGTTGAAAATTCATGGCCACACATACACAAAACACACACACACAAAACACACCCATACTCACAGAAATAGCCACAAAAAGAAACACATAAGTACCTCACATCCACCAACATAGAACTCTGTGAAACCTCATTGAAAGGGGAGAATCCTTGATTTTTTAAATCAATTTTGATCCACAAAAACCTTGCATTAACCAAATTAGGTGCAGGTGATATGCAGAGGCATACAAGCACTAATGTCATCAATATTGTCCTCTAGCAGTGAACAGTGGAGGAGGCAACATAAAATGTGCAGATGAATGGCACAAACCACCTAGCCATCTAGTCAGGCTTTTACTGCACTATGCAAGCAAGCCAATATTCTTGTGAGTTTTTCCCTTTGTTTTTGGCAAAATGAAGCAAATGTTTATAAGGGGCAGTAAGTGTCCTGTAAAACATTAATGAAATAGCTCGTCCCATTAACAGCCTAAAAGAAGCATCTTTGGCAAGATTTTTCTCCCGTGCAATTTTCAGTTTCACACAAGGAGTACAAATGTAAGAGTACCGTCTCTCCCTCTCTACCTTTCTCTTTCACATACACACGCTGTTTACTTTAGGTAAAGACTAGACCTGTCCCATGCTTTATAGTGACATCAAGGAACAGAAAATCTTTTTTGAAACTTTACAACATAAGATTAGAAATCCAAAGGAAAAATAACAACCCAAAAACCGATAACATTTTCTGTGAGCTGCCGGTAAAACAAAACCAATTTAGAACTGTTATCCTCAATCAACAATGATCGTATGTTTTGGGGTTTTGTTTTCATCACAACATCAGTCTCAGAGAATTTGAACAGCAAATTCAACAAAATTGTTTGAGGGCTCACATTTATACCCAGAAACATACACAAAGACAGACAAAGAAACATATACTGACTTTGTAAACACGGCTTTTCCTTTCCTTGGTTGAATCGTACATCCAGAGCCAAGAGGAGGCGCTTCTGTGTGAAAAGTGTAAGTGACTATGCTGCTCCGTCGGCCCACTGAGGAGAAACAGACAGAACTCTGATGACATTAAAGGGCCATTCCATGAAAAATGAAGTTGAAATAACACATATAAGACAGAGATGATGACTTACTGAACAAAATTCTAAGCAGTCATAAAGCCCATTCTTTCTTTTATTTCGTTGGAAGCAATCTTCCTTTTTAAAAAAACGTTCTGGTCCAAAACCCTGCTCTATCACTGTTCAGAATTTTTTCAACAGGACAGCATCCCCACATTATGTGTGTCACTGCAGTTGTATTTTTCATGAGATGGCGCTGAAACAAAATCCATAGCATAAGTGTGCGCTGGAAAAGTAGTGAATCCTTGACAGCAGAGGGGATATGACAACTCACACCAATACAGCTTTTGGCACTTTCAGTTACTTGATATTTTTTAAATAACACAACAACTCATGTCACCAGAGACATGACATCTCATAACGACACAACTGCTAATGTTACTTGAGACATGATATCTCATAATGGCACTAGTGGTAATATTAGTTTCACAATGTGAAACATCACTTTACTGAAAGGCTAACAACACGATAACTCTACAGTGATGTATGTAGCCTATGTACCTTTGACCGTACAAGTGACATCGTAGCGACAGCCTGGCGTGAGCACATTAGACCGTGTGATGAAGAAAGGTGACTCCAGGTTCTCATTCCGCACAATCCCCAGCACCTGGGCATAGGGTAAAGGCAGGCCGTTCTCCTGTACTTCCCACTTGTACCTGGAAAGGGCAACAGTGAACCTTGGCTGTCACTAGGCACCCATGCTGGTGATGACACACTTAAGTCTGAGCAAACATATACAGATCACCACACACGTGCCTATACAAATACGCTGATCACCACACACATGTGCCTATACATAAACTGATCACCACACACATGCCTATACCTGAACACATATGCACTATTCATTATATATGTAGTTATTTTTACACATACACACTGCTCATCAAGACAAACTTACTTGTGCGTACAAGCACACACACACACACACAAACGCACAAACACACACACACACACATAAACATACACACACACACATGCGCGCACACACACACACACACACAGACAGTGGTGATCAAACATCAGACATATCATGAATCTGTAAACACACACACACACACATATACACACACCGCACCACACACATATTATGTATATTATATATATATATATATATGACTGTACATACGCATGCACACATAACCACACACGCAACACAAATCATGCTGGACGGATGTACAAGAGCAAGGATCTTCAGCCCCTGGTACACAGGCATAAAGTGGCTCGCAATCCGATTTCCATTGATCCTTAGAGCACCTCCAAAGGTGCAAAGATTATTTTGTGTGTGTGTGTGTGTATGTGTGTGTGTGTGTGCATGTGTGTATGTGTGTGTGTGCATGTGTGTGCGTGTGTATGTGTGTGAGTATGTGTGCAATTATAAGTGCGTATGTGTCGTACCTGATGAATCGTCGGCTGTATTTCTGTCCAGTGCCCATGTAGAGTGCCACGTTCTTCCCTGTACCAATGGTGTGCTCACAGCTCAGGGTACACCTGTATCAGGTTTCAGATGTCATACTGTTTGTAGCACATGTTGGAGGGAGTTTGCCAGTCAGGATATACACAGGTCATGCGGGCGAGTGGAGATTATGTGAGTGCAATCAGGTGCATTTTTCTTGCGTCTCTTCATATTTTTCTGCATGATTAAATGTGAGGCAGCGTGGCGAAATCAGACCCTCGTTAAAATGGCGAAATTGGAGAAACAGGCATTTTTCCGCTAGTTTGGAAATTTTTATCCAATTTCTATTTTTAGACTTAACTCTTTTATCTCCGTATAAAAACACATTTCCGAGTGAATTTTAATGAAAAACATTAATTTAAAGGCAGAAAAATGTCATCTTTCAGTTTTCAAAGACTCTTTAGCTATTGGAGTTACCAAACTTTGGCAGCCATTTTCTCACTAATTTCACCACTGAAACCAGGCGACCTCACTTCCTTCAAATGCAGATATCTTGTGTTCTTGTTAAGATAAATAGATATATACAAGTCATCATGGTGAAATCAGGCACTCATCAAAATAATAAAATCAAAGAAATTGGCATTTTTCTGCCCGTTTGAAACTTTTTTTCACTGTTTTGAGGTGTACATTTTACTGGAACTTGATAAGAGGCACAAAAAAATAAAATTTGTAATTTCCAAGGACTCTCAAGCTTTGGAAGTCAATAAACTTCGGCGGCCATTTTCTCGTTAAATTATAACAAGGCGACCCCCACCTACTTCAATTGCAAATATCTCAACTTCTATTGAAGATACATGGCTATTTCTTCATCAAAAGCAAGACAAATAAACAGGCTTTAAGATTATGCCAATAACTCCATATACCCAAAAATTGATGAGCGCCCGATTCCACCACGTTGTGACACAAATAATGTACATAGCATGAGACATATATGCGTGTTTATATTGCATGTGTGCATATAATGACAAATATACAAGTAACTGAGTAAATCATTGGATGCTTGCAATCAATCAGGCCTGAGTGTGTGTATACTCTGTGAACATCTACACATGAACATATCTGACAAAAGTACAAAAACATAAAGAGGCAATGCCGTGAGTACTTGTCAAACTCACTAAACCACCCCATAGTATCTGTCAGATAGACTCCTTTTAATTTCCTTCTGTACCTAATGGCACTAGAGTGAAGATATTATAAAAGATGTCACACTTACAGTAAATCAAACAGTCCCGCTGAGTATTTAATCACAATTCAGCTGAACTCCGAGTCTTATTAGGATATATTTGCATTACACCCCGATCACTTTGAATTAACTACATCTATATACGTCTTCCACACACATGATATCAAAAATTAATACCCCCGATAATCTTTTCTTTTAAATGTAAGTGTTTTTGTGCCCCCATCAATACAATTTAGTTCAATAGGAGGTGGGCTTTGACCCCGCCTGCCAAGGCCAACCTGGGCTAAAAGAGATACAACTTCCCTTACTTCATCCCTATCATGACTTGAGCCAATGCTGTCACTCTGTCACTACTAGGAGCAAAAATTCTAGAACTGTGTCAGAATAAAATTCTAAAAACTTCTCAGTGTTCTCTCCAAGATCAATCCCCTCTTTCAAGAGCTAAAAAAAAATCTCCATTTTGGAAATTTTTGAGTTTATAAGCACCAAATCCTGTCCACATCTGGAGAACTAAGGTCAACTCTCTTCTCCCGTGTAATATAAGTTAACCATAATAATATAATCCAAAATTAAAACTGGCATCACACACATGGTTCATTCACCCATCAGACATATTGCAGTACTCATAGTAATAAAACTGAGTACATAACCTGTATGTAACATTTAGGCTTTTAGTAAGTGAGTGATTGCAGCATATATACAATAATAGGTTCAAAAGTGTTAAATATGAAATGGAAAATTGTTGCCGACGCAGGATTCTAAACAGCTAATTCAGTTTCTGAAAGTTTTACGGGAGAGTGAAAAAACGAAAAAAACCCAAGGCTATTATACACAATTTAGCCATAATCCAATGTTGTAACCATTTAGGCAGATTAATTTCTCTTAAAGTTAATTATAGGATTGTGACATGAGATGTCAGACAGAACTCAGAGAAAAACACAAAAACCATATTTTCTGAGTCAGCTGTCTAGAGGCCTGCAGTGACGATATAGGGAAATATTGAACTGTAAACACAAAAAGAAATAAAACATTGTCCTTTTTTAATTTGATTTACAGCAGAGTGCTAAATACAGTCGAACCTGTGTAAGACGGCCACCCATTGTCAAGGAGAAAAGTGTCTGTATAAGACAGGTGGCCGTCTTAAGCAGGACTGATCAAGATAAAGAAAACAAACCATTCCATTCTGAGGACCCAACAGAAGGTAGTCGCTTTGTTGTTGTTTTTGTTTTCGCTGTTTTTTGTTTTTTTTCTTTTGTTGCTGCTTTTGTGCAAGGGTGACAATAAAACGAAATGTGTCAGAAAAGGAGGACCGAGTGCTATGGTAAAACAAACACATGTGTCGCCACCACTCGGAGAAGAGTGACCCTTCTGTCACAAGTTCATGCTGACGTCCATTGTTACTTTGTTACAGACTGGAAACAGTGACCACTCATCTCACTTACGATTTGTGCATGAGTTCTGGGCGGAGCTTAAGGGTTATGAGGGATCACACGCTTCCCTCACCAGCAGCTGAAAATTAATTTTGATACCTATTTGTCAACAGTGGGAGGGGCCTACGCAACATGATCGGTTGGAGGGACTACCTAACAACAACAGGTGATTAGATTATGACGGCTCACCCACAACGCAGGAGCCAATGTTTGATTTATGACAAAATGTTTTGGAGTCACTATAAGGTGACCATCTAAGACAGGGGTTATTGCTTTGTGTGATAGGGGTTGTGTGTTGAAATGTGGCCACGGCCGCATTGGACAGGTGCCCGTTTTACACAGTTAAATTATATAGAAAAAACGCAACAGGGGAAATGGAAAGTGTCCATTTGTACAGGTGGCCGTCTTATAGAGGTGGCCGTCAGGGCAGGTTCGACTGTATGTCAGATTGACAAACTTACTTGATCATGGCATAAAGCATTGACGAGGCGGACAGACATCGGACGGTGATATTTGCAGAGATGGTGACATATGGTGAGTCTGCCAGAGCCACAGTCACAGACAGTCGGTAGTCTTGGCCAGGAACCATGAAGTAGCGAGGAAGACGCAGCTGTCGCTCTAAGGAAAAAGGGACACAACCCTGTTTTGATATTTTGTTTTGTTTTAATCAGAGTTTTACGACACTTTCAACACAATTAGGTCTTTTAGTGCCAAAGATTAAAGGTGCTACAAGAGAGTAACAAACACAAAAAAGGAGGAGAGATAAGGATGATAAATGTTTGATAGGGAAGGAGCAATAAACCACAGCAGAGCACTTGCCAACAACTCAACGTCATGGTGTGCTCGTGTGTGTGTGTGTGTGTGTGTGTGTGTGTGTGTATGTGTGGGTGTAGGGGGGGGGGGGTGTCTAGAAACAAATGAACACCTTTCACCATCACGTTTGTCAGCATACCTCAGTGCACATGCTTCAGAGCGCATGGAAAAAGAAACAAGGTGTATTATCTCATGTGTGCTGTCAAGTATGTCCGTGTGTCTTGCTGTGTTTGTGTGTACAAACATAATAATAATAATAGTATATAGCATTTGTATAGCGCATATCAGCAGCAGGCTCTATGCGCTTTACACTATATTACAAACATGAAGATTTTTCTTACCCGTGCTGCCGTGTATGTGTGGACAAAGTCCCCGGTTACTCTTACAGGACCACATGAATCTGGGGAACACACAGAGGTCAGGGGTCAAAAAGATTAAAGGTCACAGGAGTAAGAGGAATCAGAGTGGAAACTAGAGGGTTGGGCAACAGTACATGTTTTTTTTTGGGGGGGGGGAAGGGTTGAGGGGTTTTTTGGCGCGGTGTTTTTTTTAATGTAGATATTTTTATGTCCCCATCAAAATAATTTAAATCATCTAGAAGGTAGGCTTCAACCCTGCCTATCAGGGCCAACCCAGGCTGATTTGGATATACAGCATCCCAGTAGAAAGACCGTGATAATGATAATAAAAATTCTCCCCACACAGGAATAGAACTCTGGTCTCCTGTGTGTGATGCCGAAGCACCACAGATGCCAGTAACAGTATGCTTGTGTGTGTAGAGGGGAGCCAGGAATCACAAAGGTCAGGAGAAAGAATCAGAGAGGGAATAACAAGAGAGAGAAGTAGACTCCTAAAATGAATAAGTGAAAAAAGTGACACGACATGATGGGTGTATCATGAGTGAGAAATAGAACAAACATAAACAATGTGACACATTATGATTATGACACATGTAACAAAAGTGAGGAAATCTAACAAGTGTGACAAATGTGACATACATGACATAGGTTAGGTGGAAAAAAATGGGAAATCTAATAAACATTGGTTTTGACAAAGGTGGCATGCGTTCATATGACCTTAAGAGCACTATAAAACCCTTACCAAAAAGGTGGCATATGAATCAGATGTGACAAATGTGGTATGTACAACAAATGTATTTGGATCGATAACAACAACAACAACAAATGTCTTAAAAGATGAGTTAAAGAGGATATAACCAGAACAAATAAACACATAATAAGTCCACATTGAAGAAAGAATAGCAGCAGACTACAGTGTACTGACGTAAGTGGTAGGTCTTGATCAGGTTCATGGAAGTCTGCGGTGACCACTAGGCGGCGCTCAGGGCTCCAAGTCAGCATGCGGACAAATGGCCGTAGCAAACCTCTGATGGTGTATGATGGGAGAATCTCCACATAACCCTAGGGACAAAGTATATCTCTGACAGGAAAAAATACACATGCTTTATCATTATTGAGAAAGCCTGCCCACACCTTTCCTGTAATAGTAATCAACACCCATGAATGTGTGGCCTATAAAAATATCCATGCACCCATTCCATATAATTAATACCTACTTATTCCTGAGTACCATAGATTATTCAAGATACACACCTGCCCCCCTCCCCTATCAATACACAAAATATGCCTCACCTGTAATCGATACGCACACACATCTCAAAATATAATCAACATCTATGCATGCATTACTTATAATCAGTACCAATGCACATCTTAGTAGTGGCCAATACACACAAACCATACCAATAATCACCATACAAACATGCCTCACCACTAACCAGTACCAAAGGCCTCTTTGCCTTGCAAGGAAAATAAGGAATGAACGTTTGATTTCCACATGGAGAAGATATTGTTTCCAGTATCTCAGTATTTCTGCCAAAACATAGAGTCCTTAACATGCAGTGTTGGCCCCCAACACTCAGTCAAAGCACCCTGCCTCCTTTATTATCTGGATAATAATAATAGTTATAATAAAAATTGCATTAATATTACATATATATATGGATCTCTACCACAAGGCACTTACACAAGACACGGCATAGAATTCTTTCTTCTTCTGCACATAGGCACGCACACACACCAAAATGAAACCCACAGGCAATGTGTTTCGAGGGATGATTTCCTTGGCCTCATGGTGGTCCGAGATAGAAGGCTCACCTGATGCCAGCACTAGTTTCTCTATGCTGCATGCACACACAGAAGAGAAAAAGTCTCTAGCTGTGGTTTCCAAAACAGTCACCATTACAGGAAGGAGGGGTGTTGGGTTGTCTCTATAAAGCCGAGATAATTGTAAAAATATACGCTGTTAGAAATCAAAATCTGGACAACTGAAAGCGATTTTATCTTGGCACAAATGTTATTTTTTGTGTATAGTACAAAGGTAACATTTGGAAAATCTTTACAGAAATTGTCTGAGTGAAGGAAGACACATAGACAAGTTGATTGTAATGTGATGCAGGGAGAAAGACTGACAGAAACAATAATATAGGCTTACCATAATTTTAAAAATTGGGACTAAAAAGAGGCCCCTTACATCACTTACTTTTTCACTGAACAGCCATCTATTTATAACAGAAATTTAAAGAACCATTCATCTAAAGAAAACATGGAACACAATTCTTATAGATGAGAAATAAATATCTTTTGACCAGAAACCCATTGTCTTCACTGATTTCTAAAAGGCAGAAAACTAATCACCAGTGGAGGTCAAAATAAAGCAAGCAACAAAACCACTTCAGACAACAGGGTCATACCAGTAACACAACAGTAGTAATTCAACAACACTGCTCAGTAGTAGCACTGGGAACAGCGTGTCTAGTCCTAGAAGTGACAGTAGTATAGTAGTACACAGTATCAAATGTACTGTCCCCGTGGTTTTAAGCACCCCATAATTTAGCTAAATTTGATCAATTTCTGATTAATTTCCTTATCAGTCTTTGTTTAATTTAACAGAATCGCATAATTTCACATTTTTGTGCTCAGTTGCATAATTTCAGAATTTTTCTCGCATAAAACGACGGGGACAGATTGTAACAGCAGGGATAAAGCATTGTCATAGCAGTTACAGTGATGATAGTCTGTTGTATCAGTTGTAACAGAAAGAAGTGACTTGTTTAATAAGTGGTTACGATAGTGTTGTATTTTGTAACAGCAGTGACAGCAGTTACACACTGTCATATCAAGAGTGACAGTAAGGCAGAGTTTTTGTCATAACAGTGACAGTTACAAACGTTTTGAATAAGTAATAACAGTTAGTACAGTGATTAGAGGGTGGTCATTGTTGTACACAGCACTGAAAATGTGTCATCTTACTCAAGCCGCTCATAGAAGATGCCTCTGTCACACATATTATTTTGCTCCAGAAGTACATCATTTAAGGCATAAAACTCCCACTCCACCCGTGGAGTCTCGCGGCACGCCAAGTCTGCCGGGAACACAATCTTGTACTCCTGGTAGCTCTGCACAAGACAAAAAACTGCTCAATGAACTCCAGGAGGAACCTGAACAATCTTTTCTTTTTTTTTTTTTTTAGTAGAGGTTTTACGGCGCTCACAACTGCATAAGGTTCAATGAGCGCTAGAAGATTAGAGGTGCTACAAGAGAGTAACAAACATAAAAAAGAAAAAGGGGAGATATGGACGATAGATGTTTGACAGGAAAGAAGAAGCAAACCACACCGGAGAACCCGCCAACCACACACCCTGAACAATCTAGAAGTTAAAACATCCTCCATGTTCACCACACACACACACCAGACTGTCTAAGCCTATAAAAAGGACATCAGACAGTCAAACAAAACACACATCAAAAAGTCTGTTTTAACAAAACACACATCAGCCAGTCTACCCTAACAAAATACATACAAGAGTCTATGTTAATATTTGGGCATCTATGCTAACAAAACACTTATACAGTATTTTATGCTCACAAACTACACACACACAAAAAAAAAAAATTATTTATTCTCACAATATAGAGTTTGTCCGTGGCCTATACCCTGGTGTAGGGTCAGAAAGGCAATGATGATGAGACCATTCATATAATTCATCTGACACATAGGTCTAGTGTGTACTTGTCTCAGTAATGTGTAGTGCACACTACTGTGTACCATAACATAGAGCATATTGCACAGTGTACCTGTGTGCCACAGCGTAGTGTGGTGAACTTGTGAGTTCTGTTGTGTACTGTGCTGCAGTGTATTCTTGTCTACAGTAGTGAGTGGCATGCTGTAGCAATTACCTGTCTGTAGTAGAATGCAGCATTCTGCAGTGTGTTCCCAGTGCCATGTATATGCATGTCATGCAAACATGCACTGCCGGAGAGTGTCTTGTAATCTACATCAAACATCAGCACCAGGCCGTAGTAGTCTTCCTGGATGGGCTCAGCCTTCACCATGATGTGGCCTGGCTGCAAGAACCGACGTTTCAGGTGCGAGTAGAAGTTGTACTTGGTGGTGCTCTGTCAATGATACACTCACACTTAGCAAAAAACAAACCAGTGAACAGAATCAAAACTCTCAAGCATATTTTAAGGTGAGAACTTTTCTACCAGTCCGCATCGACGACCACAGAGGCAACCACAGTGCAACAGTCACAGTGCTCTTACTTCGCCCCTGTGCTCAAACATGCATGCACATTTACACATTTACATAGCCTACAAACTGGCAACCATGCAAGCACAAACATTGATCAGCTCACTGTAACATTACGAGTCCTGAAATCAAATACCAGTTGACCACCAACAACATCGTTGCACAAAGAGATGCTCACACTCACACACGTAGTCACCCACCACAGTGCACTCACTTGAAGCCTTTTCAGGAAGGGTTCATCCCCAAGCACTTTCTGATGCTCCAAGTAGAAGTTGAATACACACATAGCGGTGCTACTGTTGTCTTGGATCTGATGGGAATTGGACAGGAGGGAGGAGGAAGGGTGAGGGTGTGTTGGAGG